TGCAGTTTTGGTTAGCATACAGCTAATCCAGAAGGAGCTGGCAAAAGGGGTTGAATTCCAAGCCCCCCCGAGACCTGCGAACGTCTCTGAGGTCACTGGATCTCCCCAAACCTTCCCCAAATCTCCCCAGACAGCTAGGATCGAAAACGACCCGTCCAATTCCTTCGGAATAGGGGAATTTCAGGAATAGCCTGAAACTCCGTCTTCTCACTGCTAAGCCCCGCCTTCTTCCCCTCCAAAGACATTTTCAATGCCCATATGGTCAACATGGCTATATGCCAAAGGCCCATGGAACATTATTACCTTCCCATTGAAGTGTTACCTATTAATTTACTTGTATTTGCAAGCTTTTGAACTGCTAGGTTGATAGGAGCTGGAGCAGGAACAGGAGCTCACTCCATTGCACAGTTAGTGCAATGTCTTAAATTGTTAGCATTTCCAACTGACAAGTTCAGCATATTTAACCACTGAGCCATTGCGCTCCCCTATTGCCGAATTGCAACACAATTTTAAAACTCCTTGATAAATATGATCATCAAAGAAGCACCAAAGAAGCAATTTGTTCAGGCTACAAGACACTATTTCTACTCACTGGAGTCATCAAGAGAAGCACAAGAGAGGTACTAACTAAATAAATCTCTATATTATAAGCTAAACTTCAGCTCTCTTTTTCCCAAAGTATGGAAAATCAAATGTAAGCTAATTGCATTTTTAAAAATTCCTATCAGCAAGCAGAAAAACTATACAAATATTTTTTATATTATAATAATACCTAGAAAGCAAAATGATTAAGCAATTTAGGAATGGAAATTTAATTTGTGATTTACATCTACTTAAATTTTTATTTATGAATATGTGGACATATTAAAGATATAGATAATGCCACCAAGAAACCTTTAATAATATTTTAATAACATTCTTTGAATGCTTTTTATTATTTTAATTGATTTAACTGTTTTATAGTTTAGAATTGTAGGCTGCCTAGGGTCATATGACTAGGATGTGGGGCTATAGAAATTAAATAAACAAATAAATAAATACAATTTTATACTACAAAGACATGCTGTTCTGCACTGATACTGTGCTTTCTTTTGTTCTATCCCCAAGAGGTGAACAGATTGTTACCATCATCCTTTAATATCTTTACTGTTCCTCTGTCCCATGACTTTTCTTATAAGGTAAATTAATACATGTGTATTTTGCTTACACACCCATGCACATTCCTATGTGTGTATGTAAAGCTTGACACCTTCAAAGGTGTTCCCTACTTCTAAAAATGAAGTGACCACACTTCTAAGACTTCTTTTGCCAGTTCCAGTAGATATAAGAGGTATTTGCACATGTTTATTAATACTACTGAAAGGCTTTGAGATGTGAAGTGAAAAGAATCATAATCATCTCCTCTCGTCTTGACTTAAGTAACATCAAGATAAAGTCATGCTGTCCTATTCAGAACTGTTCATTCCAGCTTTTGCTAAGTTTTTTTTAAACAAATAAACAAACTTACAAACCTTCAATATTGATTTCTCCCATTCTGTG